TAACAAGTCCTGACCCTCCAAGCCTTCTCCTGGAAGTATTCTGCAACCGCGCGCGGCCGAGCTCCATGTTTAGAAGGCTTCCGGTTTGGGGCTACCACAGTTGCCTAAGCAGGGGGGATCTCGAGGCTGGGAGTGAAAATGCAATTTCTACAATATTGGTATAATGAACTTGTTCATTATATACAGAACTATTCACTACTGACACAATATGATGATAAAATCGTTATTTCCTTCAACATTGAATTTTTGTCAGGTATCAGGGCCTTAGCTTCTTCGAGGGTTCGGTTCTGGTTTGGCTCCGTGGTTTCTTGTCGGCCTGGGCTCGAGGTGTGAAGGTGTTCGGTTTGGGAGTTCTGGGTTTAGGGTTTATGCTTCAGCCGAGGCAGAGGCCCACGGTTAAATGACATCTTTGGTAACTAAGGCTCCAGCTTGCATACATGGCATCGAGAACGATGGCAACTGGCTACTTGGAGGATAGGGACTTAGCAAGTAAGGTTGCAAGTACCTCAGTTAGGGCCATAAGTACTCAAAGGTAACCAGATAATAAGTTTGGCTACCAAGTCGCGCGATCTCTCAAGTACACCCTAACACCCCCTCAGAGAACCTTTGGAGATCCCTTCAAGGAAGCCTCTATGGAACCTCTAAGTACGTACCATCTCTAGGGCCCTCCCAGTGAGAAATCTCACTGTCAACAAGGCCCCAGCCTGCGGCGTGTCAAGAACCCTATACTTGAAGGTTCATGGGTAGGCACAAGTGGGGTCTTAAGTAGGGTAACTATAGTTATGACCCATATTGAGGGATTTATAACCCCACTCATAAATACCATGTCCAAGTAAATCCGGCTTTCCTTCATACACTGGTATAATAAGCCCCAAAGCTTAAACAGACCCCCCACCCGGGCTCCAACCCCCGACTGTAGCTTGTATGACTCGAAGCCCATAGGCTAAACCCTCGCTGGGGTTTAGGCTCGACGGTTAAGGACGAATCATTGTAAATCAGAAACCATAAACACCCAAAACAACTCAACCCCTAACCTCAAAAAAGACTCTCAACCCTCATAGCCCCAAACCCTCCCCCACCAACGCAGAAGCCTTGCAGAACCCTACAGGGCGCTTACAGAAAGCCCCTACACTCCTTACACCATCCAAACCCAACAGAAACCCTCGCAACCCTGAGCCCCAAACCCTAGACTCCAAACCCAAAATACTTAACATCGCCCTTTTCTCAGCAGGCTCCTTTGGTCTTTTGAAGCGGCCATGCGAGGCGTACTATAGGGGCCTTAATGATTAGAGGAGGGTTCGTTTTAAAAGGTTCGTAAGGAAGGGTCTGTAGGGTCTGAGATTTATCGTAAGGGATTAACATAGCGGGACCAAGATGCCTTTAATAGGGTTTGGGCATGGTGGAAACCCTACTCTAACTGCTGAGAACCCCAAACCCTAACAGTAACCCGTATGATAAAAATCTGTATTGTAACCCTTCAAGAATTCTCTTATAGGAATCCTACTCCAATCATTCACCCTAAACCGTATCCTTAAACCTTCAACCATCACCCCAGAACCTAAACTCTAAACCCGAAACACCTAGCAGAATTACCAAGGCCACAATACTATAGGGCCCTTAATAATTAGAAAAGGGTTTTGGGGCCGATTATACTATACTCATACCCAGGAACCCCACGAAATTGTATAGGTAACCATTTCGGCCCAAACCCTAAACTCCATACCGTCCATACCCTTATGGAATCCCTACAGATCCCTCTAAAGGGACCCTTCAAGGAACTCTGTATAATATACCCCCCAACCCTATTCTAATTGCTAAGGCCCCTATATTCACTTCTCAAGCGCTGGAGCCTCTGCACAGGAACATCGCACCCTGAGATCAACTCCCAGCGGGGCCACGCATGTTTAGGTTAGGGCCTAAGTTTAGGGTTCAGTTTAGGAGTTCAGGGTTTAGTTTAGGAGTTCAGGGTTTAGTTTAGGAGTTCAGGGTTTAGTTTAGGAGTTCAGGTTTTAGTTTAGGAGTTCAGGGTTTAGTTTAGGATTGAAGTTCAGCGTGTCGTGTTCACGGTTGCTTAGGTTTTAGGGTGCGCGGCGTTGGGGTTTGGAGTGTACACGGTTCAGGATTTAGGGTTAAGGGCTTAGGATTGAGGTTCCGGGTTGACCGTCATGTGCCCCTTCAACAGGGTTTAGGGTTTAGGGCATTGTGGTACTAATCAGGTCTATACTTAGAGCCAGTAAAGCCCAATAACCACCTAATTCAGGAATATAGTTACCTTAGATACAGGTGCCTTGATCATGTATGGTTTCAAGCATATTCCTTTTTAAGGGGTACTGGGCTCCCTGGGCAGTTTCATGTAGGGGCCTTAATAAGTCGATTAAGGTTTTGGGGTATATTATAGTAGAACTACAGCAAGGAACCACCAGAATAGCAGTGGTAATCACTAAGGCCCTCCAAAACCCTGAACCCTCAACCTTAAACCTTAAATACCTGACTCTTAAACCTTAAACCCTGAATCCTAAACCTTAAACCCTGAATCCTAAACCCTAAAAGCCTGAATCCTAAACCTTAAACCCTAACCGTTAAACCCTAATAGTACTGGGCTCGCTGGGCATATTATGCGGGGAGTGCTCGGCGGCAGCAGGCTTGCCCTGCTACAGGCCCTTGATCTCGGGACGTCTCCGCAACTCGGCCTACGACAGGAACACTTCCCAGGCCACCTTTCTCTGATTTAGGGATTAGGGTTTAAGGCTTGGGGTTAGGGTTGCGATGATGGCTATAGGCTTCTCTATGGGATAAAAAAATGCAGCCAGAATAGAACAAAACCCTCTCTTTCGTGCGATGAAGATAATGTAGAGGTCTTAGTCAGTAGAACTCAGCTTTTGTGGTATAACGTCTTATGGTAGCCCAATAACCAAAACTTAAGGAATCTACCTTGAGTTAGAATGGCCTTAAGACTATGGTTTATGGCATATGGTATATTCCTTAAACCCCAAACCCTAAAACCTAAACCCTAATTAACCCTCAACCTTAATTAAAAGGTACTGGACTCTCTGGGGAGCTGTTCTTTTACAGGTGTCTAGGGCGTCGGAGCTGGGCATCCGAAGAGGGCATAACTACAGCAACGCTTCAGGGTTTAGGTTTAGGTTTAGGGTTTAGGGTTAAGGGTTTAGGGTTTGGTGTTTAGGGTTTAGGGTTTCCTGGCTGCGACGCAAACACACCAAGCCCCATGACCCTAAAACCGTGGGGGGCCAAAAGATCAACAGTCAGACTCCTAGCCTACCTGGCTTTTTGAAGGGGTTTAAGGCTTAGTGACTTCGTGTTAAGGGTAAACCTGCGACTCATAGCTAAGATGCCCGAACGTGCAACCGCATGTACCAGAACTTACAGACTATTAACCCGACTTATACTGGGCTTTAAGTAACCAGGGAGAAAAAGGTATGTACTTTCATTTTATAATGGTTTTAAGAAAAGAAGTATTAAAGCATGGTACTCCAAAACCCAGTATAACAGTCAGCAATCACGGCTGAAGGGCCATGAGGTATTGAGCTCTGGCTGCAGGGCGTTACGGCCTTGGGTTTTGGGTTTTAATTTTAGCATGTAGGGTTAACCCTAAATCCTGAACCCCTAAACCCTTAAACCCTAAACCCCTCAACCCCTAAAGCGTAAACCCTAAGCCCCTAAACCCTAGGGCTGCGCACGCAGATTCAGGGCTTAGGGGTTTCGGGGAGGCTGGGGTTGAGGGTTTAGGGTTTAGGATTTAAGGGTTGAGGGTTTAGGGTTTAGGGTTTAGGGGTTGAGGGTTTAGGGTTTAGGGTTTAGGGGTTGAGGGTTTAGGGTTTAGGGGTTGAGGGTTTAGGATTTAGGGTTCAGGGTTTAGGATGAGTACTCGGAGGTTTATAGGTAGTTATAAGTGGGGTTATAAGTCCCCTATTATGGCTTATAAGTATAGTTACCCTACTTATGGGTTATAAGTATAGTTACCCTACTTATAACCCTACTTATAACTACCCATGAACCTCCAAGCAGGGTTCAAACTACCGTCATTGAAAGCGTGACTACCCAAGGTCGAACCCTAAGTCCTGGACCTTTCTACTAAATCCTCTGCCCTTTCAAGAACTGTAAGCCCCAACTCAAACGAACATCACCGAGCCCTGCGCCCGAAACTCTGACCCACTAAACATGAAAGAACTCTACGGCGCAGCGTTTAGGGCGTACCTTTCAGGACAGAGGAAGTGCAAAGAGGGGTGGCCAAGAAGGTTTGGCCTTCAAGGCTTTGCATGAAACGGAACAGTGCATCCTCAAGCCCTGAACCCATCGAAGCCCAATGCAATTTACTGACCCTAATAAGTCGAACGAAGGGTATACTGAGTACTTGGAGGTTCATGGGTAGTTATAAGCAGGGCTATAAGTAGGGTAACTACACTTATAACCCATAATAAGGGACTCATAACCCCACTTATAACTACCCATGAACCTGCAAGTATACGATCTTCAGTCCTGAAATCTCTAGAAGCCCTAAACCTCTAAGTGCTAAGGCCCTAAGACGACATAAGCCCGGCGTGGTGGAGATTCACATGAACATCCGAAACTCTGAATCTGCCCGAAAACACCTCTAGGAATTTAGGTTTATAGGGTTTAGGGTTTAGCGTTTAGAAATTTAGGGTTTGGGAATTTAGGGCTTATAGGGTTTAGGGTTTGCGGTTTAAGGTTCAAGGTAATTACAGGGTTTAGGATTCAGGGAAGCACCCTAACCACATCACAAACACGTTGAACCTTGAAGGGTTTGTGCTTCCGGCTCTTCAACCGGACACCTTCAGAAACCCGAGCTTCTGCGAAGCCTGACCCTTTCCTAAGCTTTAAACGCTACCTAAACCCTGAACCCTAAACCCCGAAACCCTGAACCCTAAACCCTAAACGCTAACCTTCAACCTAAACCGAAAAACGGCGACTTGTTCCGGGATTCCATACAAGAGCCTCAGCAATTCCTCCTCAACGGCTCTTCAACCCCAGGCCGTTGACCTCCAAGAGACTCTTCTTTGGGGGGAGTGGGGGTTTAGGGTTTCTTGTTTAAGCCTTTTAAGGTTTAGGGTTTAGGGGGTTTTAGGGTCCAGGGTCTGTTTTTTTTTTTTTTGCGGGCCCGTTTCCGACTGCGATACAGCAAGAATACCTCACCAGGTAGAGCCGATGTTGGGGCCTCAGTGTGGAGCAAGCCTATACCAAATTCCCTGGTCTGAGGGTTTTAGGGCTTAGGGGTTTTGCGGTGGTTTAGAGCTTCAGTTTTTGGGGGTTTTGGCGTTCAGACTGTGGGTTTCAGGATTTCAACCAGGGGCTTTAGGGTTCAGGGTTTCGGGTCCTACGGCTGATGATATAAATCCTGCATTACCCATAATTGATGGGGAATATACCATAATTCCCAAAGTCCAGGGTCATTAAGGTAATGCAGGATTTGTATCATCAACCGTATTATAAGGCGATTGCCAAGGGCCTACAGTAGAGGCCCAAAAGTTGGAAACCCAATAGCCTCCATCCTTAAGAGTAATGTATAGGGAACCCCAGCACTATTTGGCCTTAATCCGGTTTCCAACTTTATGGAGTTTACTGTAAAGGTAACCCTAAACCCTATAGTACCCCTATAGAGCCCTTTAAAGGAACCCTTAGAATCCCCTTTAAAGGAGCCCCTACTGTTTACTGTAAACCCTGACAAAAGGGCCTTCATAACCAGGGCAGTCCTGTGGGGCCGCTTGGTGTTTACTTAGTCAAAGGGGAAAAGGGGGGACCCTTAATCGGGACCCCTCCCCTAAAATGGGGTACATAATGGGTATGTAATGGCTATATTCAGGGTATATACCTATGGGTCCTCACAAAGGGTCCCTCCTGTTACCCTTGGACTTAGTTTACTTATACGGACTATAAGGGGACAGCTGTTGACGAATCATCCTTATACGGTAAAAAATGCTTTCCGAGATGTCTATGAAGGAAACAAAAAAACTTGTAGTCCAGGCCCCTGTGCAAACTACAAAACTAACCCTAAACACAAGACCCTATACCCTTAATCCCTGGACACTAAGCCCCAAGACTCTAAACTCTAAACACCACGATCCTTTGCCCTAAACCCCAAACCCCAAGACTCTAAACACCAAGACCCTACCCCAAATAGTCCTAATTTTTCCGAATACCACTGGCCGACCCAGGTGGCAAAGTGCACGTTTTACGACCAAGTGAAACACGAAAAACCAAACTAATTCTCAGGCAAAAGCTTCGCCATAGCCGAACGCATGGACTCAGGGAGGGCGTTGTAGGCATCCACCTCGTGCATGTCGGTCGCAACGACTTGGCAAAGCAAGAGGAACCGCAAATACTCCTCACGAAAGCTGTCATCGCAAGGAAGCTCCAAAGAGTTTGAAAACGCAATCAACTGCTCATCTTGAGTCATTGGTTGCGCGTTCATCAAACGGGCACATGTGGCCGTCAAAACGCCGCGGACGCTAACATCAGCATTGCGAGCGCATTCCTCCTCCTCGTCAGCATCAAGCTCGGCTCTTATCTGCAAAAATAGAGATCGTCGATAAAGCCTGGGGCCTGAGGTGCGACTCGCCATCCGCCACGTGATTCGCCCTCTTAGGCCCTGAAACCCAGGTTTGGGGTTTCAAGTTTGGGGTTTAGGGTTTCTGGTTTAGGGTATCTACACTCTATACCCTAAACCCAAAACCGAAACCCGACATCCTGAACCCGACACCCTAAACCCGACGCCCTAAACCCTACGCCCTGAATGCTGCCTTCAGGAATCCATGTGCTGTGGGCTAATGGCAGAGCTTCAGGGTCGATGGTTCAGTGTTTAGGGCTGGCCGCTCGAGGATCTTAGGGTCTAGAGTCCAGGGTTTGGGGGTTTAGGTTTTAGAGGTTTGGAGTTTAGGATTTAAGGGTTGGGGGGTTTAGGGTTTAGGGGTTTAGGGTTTAGGGTTGGGCCTAGGGTTTAGGGTGTGGTGTCTTGCAGTAGTGGTGTAGGGACAAAGAAGGAAGCGATCACAAATCATGGGGGCACTTTCATTTTACTGAGGTACATTAGCTAATCCAAAACCAATGAGCCCCAAACCCTACTTGGAGTTTCATTGGTAGTTTTGAGTGGGGCTATAAGCCCCCTAATATGGGTTACAATTACAGTTACCCTACTTATACCCCAACTAATAACCACCCATGAACCTCCAAGTAAGCCCTAAACCCTGTACCCCTCTAGAATCCCTATAGATCCCTTTAAAGGAACCCTCAAGCTCCTTAAACCCTATAAACCCTAAACCCTAAACCCCTAAACCCAAAACCCTGAACGCCGAACCCCAACCTCCCTTAAAATGTATAGAAACCCTATAGATGCCTTTAACGGAACCCTTGAGCTCCCGAACCCCAACCCTCTTTAAAGTCACAAGCCCGCGAGAATCAACTGAGGGCTTCGCTCGGCGTTGCCGTATCGGGCCAGAAGCTCCTCTCGCAAGTTGGGCTTGATGATGAAGCCCGTTTAAGGCATGCTTTTTAGACATGTTAGCGGGCTTAAGGCTTTGGGTTTTGGGGCTTGCGGCCCAGGGTCGAAGGCTGTGGTTCAGGAGTGAATGCGTAGTTCTCGAAATTCGGGTCCCTTTTCGGTGCCCCAATGCGGGCAGCACCCTTCTCAAAAGCGTTTGGGGCCTAGGGTTTTACGGTTTGAGGTTGAGGGATTAGGGTTTAGGGTTAGGGTTTGAGGATTAGGGCTTAGGGTTTAGGGTTTAGGGTTTGGCCCTGATTTAGAGAACTGCCCAAAGGCAAACCCGCTTGCTCCACGCAATGCGAAGTCCTCACCCTCGGCGATGTCGCGCATGGCCTCCCGGCCACGACGTACTGTTGATGGACAACATCCTGCAATACTCTTTATAAGGAATATACCAAAGTTCCCAAAGTTTAGAGTCCTTAGGGTCATGCAGGATTTCGTCCATCAACAGTATCGGACCCCTGGTCATGAACGTGCACATAAGTAGTTGTCAAAATTAGGGTCCCTGTTGGGGTAATCTACATATCAGGTGCCGTACTATACAAAGGACCCAAAAAAGGAGCCTAATTTTGACAACCACCCACATACCTGGTCTACCTGTGGTACCCCCTCGCAGCCCCAAACCCCTGAGGCCTTCACACGAGAGTACGACGAACCCTCCCAAGGCCCCAATACAGAGGCCCAAACACTTGCCATGTGGGGTTTAGGGTTTAAGGTTTAAAGATAGGAGCTATTAACCAGGTGACCTTAGCCAATGTAGAAGCTTCTGATGTTATATAGGGGTTGAGTACAACGGGCCTTCATAAGGGTAGATTTTAGTACATTACTAGCCAGGCCCACGGAATAATCTGACCAAGTACTCAGGCTCCTAAAGACCCTAAAGCCTTGAACCCTAAACCCTTAAACCTTAAGCCCTAAATCCTAAACCTCAAAGCCCTGAACCCCTATACCGTATACCTAGAGGCCCTAAAGCCCTGGGTCATACTAAGCACCCAGTAAGCTGGCCTGCAGATATGCCTCTGCCGGCAGGAAGCCACTGCGATCGCTTTTCATAAGGATGAACCTCCGGCCCGATACGGTTTCGGGTTTAGGGTTTCGGACTTCGGGTTATCATAGGTCCTTCAAAGCGTTCTTAATGTTCGAAGGCCTCAAAAGGTGGGAGGGGCAGCATGAAGGATCCCTCATACAAGGACACATAATTGAGATCATCCCACCTCCCTTCATCCCACCTTTGGAGCCTTTTGAAAGCTGGGTTCGCGGCTTAGCGTTGGCGGACTTCGATGAGCCTCGAGCGCCAGCACTTTGCATTCTTGACGATTGCTGCTAAATCCTAAAGCCCTAAGACCCCCAAAAAAACTAAAACCCCAAACCACAATTCCCAAAACCCTATATATGCAGCCCCTAAAGCGCTTGGACCTTCTGCCGAAAGCCTCAAAAATCGAAAACAGTCTTGAGTCTTGAGGCGTAGGGAGTCTATTCAGGCGGTTCAGCTGGATCTTAAAGGGTTGAGGGCTTAAAGCCAATATAGGGGCGTTAGTAAGTCAAACGGGGCCCCAAAACGCACACAAAACCTCTATCCGCAAAGCGTAAGAACCACAAAAACACGCCAGGGACAAGCTGGGCTACCAAGCCGTGGTTGACCATGCAACCGACCTTGGTCCATATTGAGGCACATGTTGCTAGGTGCAGGGAGTGGGACTAAGCTATTTCATGATATCGGGCTTGGGTAAAAGGGAGCTGGCTCTTTTCTTTTCTTGAAAGATAGTTGCTTTATTGCAACTCCCGCATTGAGGGCTTAGGGTTGAAGGTTCACATAAGCCCTATACCCTAAACCCTAAACGCTATGAACCTCCTTAAACCCCCAGCCCAAACCCTCAAAGAACCCTAAACCCCAAAACCCTCAACCAAGTAACCCAATACACCAAAACCCTATGTAAACCCTAGATAATCCAAAACCCTAAGCCCTAAACCCCAAACCTTAAATAGCCCCAAAAACCCCAAACCCCAAAAACCCTGAACCCTGAACCCAAACCCTCAACCCCCAAACCCCAAAAAACCCTAAACCCTAAACCCCAAACCCCAAAGCCCCAAAACCCTAATACCCGAAAGCCGGCACGTTCTCGTTTCGGCGAATGCTATTGGCTCTCAGAGGTTGGACCCTAATGTAGGAACCTGATTAAGAAACCTTGGGCCTTTACTAGGGTTCCTTATATGAACCCTACTATTTTGGGATTATAGGCCCAGGGTTTCTGAATCAGGTTCCTACATTATACAACCTCCTTGAAAAGGTAGGTTACCTGAGGTTAAAGTTATAGGGTTGCAGTTGTGTGGGTTTAAAGGTGTAGGCGTCAGGGATTAGGTAAGGATTTGGGGTTTAGCGTGTAGGGTTTAGGGTCCAGGTCGTGGACTCGTAGACTTAGACTCTCAGTACTTGGAGGGTCGGGGGACTTGTTAAGTAGGTAGTAAGTAGACTTATAAGTACCCTAAAAGGGACCCTAATTGGGGATATGGTACTTATAAGTCCCTAAAATAACCAGTTACTAAGTCCCCCGATCCTCCAAGTAGACATGAGACAATAGAAGGAAAGCAGTGTTAGGCCTCTGAAATGCCGAAGCCACAACCCTTTCCCAAACCCCGGACATTCAAGCCTAAGAAGCTGTTAGAAACCCTCATAAAACCTTTTTGGATTTATAGAAACCTGTCTTGAACCACCCTTAGAGCTAAACCCTGCCCTTATATGAAAAACAGCATAAACCGTCACCTTTGTGTAAACCCCCGGGGGACCTCCTCTAGGAGCGTGGGATTCGCGTGAGTCCCCGGCTCCAACTTCCTCCAACTTCCGCATGACTTTGGTGTGCTCTCCTCCTGGTAAAGTGGTCGGGTTCAGGGGTTTCGTGGTTTACAGTTTAGGGTTTTTGGGGCGGGGGGGGGGGCTTCGGAGTAGCAAGGACGTGATCTTGTTACTGAGTTCCTTTCAGTTCATATGTTGAAAGAACTTTTTCACTTTCGGATTCAAGATTAAATCTGACAGTCTGGTTCTTGTGGAAAATTGCCGAACCGTCATAACATGGTCAAGTGCTTAGGGCTTCAGCTGTGGAGTTTGAGACATGCTGTGCTTGACCTTAACTTCAAGCCCCAAACCCTAAACTTCAAGGCACGAAACCCTAGTTCACACACCTTGAAGCCCTGAGCCCTCAACTCCAAAGCGCTAAACCCCAAACCCTGAAGCCCGAGGCCCGAAATCCCGGACCCGAAGCTGCAAGACAAACTGCGGACAACTCAAGAAATCCGACCAACCTGGCGTCAGCACGGTGATCTCCACTTCCTTCCACGGACTTCGAGAATTTAGTCTTTAGGGTTCAGGGCATGGGACCGAAAACCTGCGACTCTGAAATTTGTCGTAGCACTGGTAGTAATACCAAACCGAGTACCAGCACCAGTACCGGTAGCTGCACAAGGACCAGTACTAGTACTAGTACTAGACTACTACTAAAAACACGAAGAAGACTAGTAACTACTACTACTACTACTGCTACTACTACTACTACTACTACTACTACTACTACTACTACTACTACTACTACTACTACTACTACTACTACTACTACTACTACTACTACTACTACTACTACTACTACTACTACTACTACTACTACTACTACTACTACTACTACTACTACTACTACTACTACTACTACTACTACTACTACTACTACTACTACTACTACTACTACTACTACTACTACTACTACTACTACTACTACTACTACTACTACTACTACTACTACTACTACTACTACTACTACTACTACTACTACTACTACTACTACTACTACTACTACTACTACTACTACTACTACTACTACTACTACTACTACTACTACTACTACTACTACTACTACTACTACTACTACTACTACTACTACTACTACTACCACTACCACTACTACACTCGACGACGTAAGACTCAGAGACTCCAATGCCCCTTAATTTGTACCTGAAACCAAAACGGCCCGTGTGATCTGGGTTCTTGTTAAGGACTTTAGTTTAAGTTGCCATAAGTAAGAAACCATGTTAATTATTATGAACCCCTATCATTGTAACTTACATGACATTCCTTAACAAGAATCCAGCTGCTATATAACCCTAGACTCTAACAAAACCCTTAAAAAAAAACGTTCGAACAGGGGCCCTAAACCGAATAATTTACGGTATATCTATACATATGTATATATAGAGAGAGAGAGAGAGAGAGAGAGAGAGAGAGAGAGAGAGAGAGAGAGAGAGAGAGAGTCCTAACTCTCATGAGGAGGCCTTGGGCTCTCTGGGTAGCCTAGGCCCATAATTCGAAGTCTATTCCTTAATTCAAGGGTATTCCCTAAACCATAAACCCTAAACCCTCAGGTCTATTCCTGAATTACGGGGCCCCTTGCGCTAAGGTATATAACCCTAAACTCTAACAACACCCCATAAAACCCTTCATTAAAGGGCCTATAACTTCAGGAATACTCCTAACTCTAATTAACCCTAAACCCTAAACCCTAAGCCTTAAACCCTAAACCCTAAACCCTAAAACCCTAAACCCTAAAACCCTAAACCCTAAACCCTAAGGCTGTCTGGGTGGGACTCCGGCCTCGGAGCCTCGTCGGATTGCCTTCGCCACGGGTCCACCATCAAGGACCCAGCCTGCGGGGTGCTAGGGGGGGTTGAGGCTTAATGTTGGGGTTTTAGGTTTGGGATTTGAGGTTTGGGTTTCAGGGTTCAGGGTTCAGGGCTTGGTGTTTCGGATTTGAAGTGTTGGGTTTTAGGGTTTAGGCTTTATTGGGCTGTTCTTGGAAGCTGTGTTTTTTTAATTCTTCCGTCAGATTTTACATGAAAAGTCGAAACTTGTCAAGACGTGCTTAAGTGAAAGGCTTGAGGCCTGGGGCTCAGGGCTAAAATTGGGGTTTAAGGTATAGGGTGTAAGTTAGGGCATAAGGTTCAGGGTTTAAGGTTTAGGGTCTAAGTTAGGGTTTCAGGTTGCGGGTTTCACAAAAGAGCAGCCTTCGGAACATGCACAAAGGTTAGGTTTCAAGGTTTAGGATTCTCATTACACTTCTGTCTCTCTTGTGACCACGAACGAGTGTTGATGCTTTCTGCAACTTGTGTCAGAGTGGCTCCCATCAACCTCGTACTACCCAGAAGGCCATCAAGGAAGTTACTTCAACTCATAGAATCAAGACCCTCATAGTTGGAGGCATGCTGCTTAGTCAACGGGCGTCGGTGCCTCAGGGTGGCACGACTATGAATATCTATATGGAAGTTGTACAAATGAGAAGACTGTTTCGGGGCACATTATGATACTACAATGCAGATATTCTGATTCAGTCTAGAGCCTGCTATTATTTACTAATACCAAAGAATCAAACTTTTTCGTCTCTGTCAGTTACAGGCTCATGTGCGCTATTACTGGCACGTTTGTACTATAACTGCGCACATTGATCATCAGCACCAGCACCTCAGGATCATGGCCAAACTAGACCACTTGGATGTTCGTGGGCAGTTACAAGTGGTAGAACTGCCCATGAACCTCCAAGCAGACCTTAAACCCTAAACCCTAACCCTTAAAGCCTAAACCTGAACCTTAAACCCTTATAACTACGCGATCTGTACATTGGAGTAAGGGTGCGGGCCAGCGCGGTCTAGAGGCTCATCAGGGTAATAAGACTCATGTAACCCAAACCCTGAGCCCACAACCCTAAAATCCCAAAGCCTAAAATCCCAAACCCTACCTTAACCCCAAATATTCAACTTTGTATCAGGACTTATGAAAGGTAATCAAAACAGGAACCCGAAAAAGGAAGGTCCAGGGAAACCCAAAGCAGCCAAAACCAGAAACGCAAAACCCAGACCCTAAACCCCAAGACAAACACGTCCACCGACACTCTGACTGCCTCCGCTTGAATGGAGGCTGAGCACATACGACCTGGTCAAGAAGAGAATTAGGCTGGCTTCTGTTTGGACTAGCCTGGCTTTTGGGGTTTAAGGGGGATTTAGCGGGTTTAGGGTTAGGGGGTTTAAGGCGTCGGGTTTTAGGATTCCGAGGTTTAGAGTTTATGGGTTTAGAGTTGTAGGGTTGGGGTCGAGGGCTTAGGCTGTTATGGTTTAGGCTTTAGGTGTTTCAACGGGCATGACTTGAGCTCCCCTTACCGGGTCTTCCTTGGAGGAGGCATCTGAGAACCGGGGACGCTAGGAAAAACTTCCTGGAAGACCTCGCGCAAACAGCTTTGAAGCTCGTCCCAGAGAAGCTGAGCGCCGTCAAGAGGCTGCTTGGAGAGACTCGCGCTAAGGGCCCGGACCCGAGGGGACGAGCACCAAGGCTTGTCAAGCTCCACTTCTTGGCGGAAACCGCATAGTGCTTACGGAAGTTGGCCGCCCTAGAAAACCCACCGACCTGCGGCGAAAGCACCCAGCACGAAACCAGCAAACCCGGAAACCCCAAACCTTATAAACCCTAAAGCATGTGAGACGTAGGGTTAATAAAGGGGGGGGGGGTGCGGGAACCCTCAAGCACTATCTTCAACTTCCATAGCCTACTTTTCTGAAGGTTCAAAAAGAAACCCCAAGAGAGAGTTTAGGGTGTAGGGTTGCACTTTTATAGGGGTCCTGCAAAAAACCGAGGTTTCGGTTTCTGAAGGTAAACCCTAAGCCCTAAACCCTGAGCCCTAAACCCGAAACCCTAAACTAAACCCTAAACCATAAACCCTAAGCCCTAAACCCTAAACTAGACCCTAAACCTCTTCTTGAACCCCTGAGCGCGGAACCTCGGATCTCGCTTTGGCCGACCATTCGTGCCTGCACCGTGGCATCAAGGGTTTAGGGTTTAAGGGTTCAGGGGTTTAGGGGTTAAGGGATTTAGGGGTTTAGGGCTTTGGGGGTTTAGGGGTTTAGGGTTCAGAGGTTTAGGGGTTTAGGGGTTTAGGGGTTTAGGGGTTTAGGGTTTAGGGCTTTAGGGCTTTGGGGGTTTCCGAAAATTCGGGGTACCTTATTTTGGGGTCCGTATAATGAGGACCTATTACTTAGGGTAGGGATTTGGGGGTTTAGGGGTTTAGGGGTTTAGGGTTTAGGGCTTTAGGTCTTGGCTTAGGGAGAGATGTGGGGCTTAGGGGTCCTTTAAGGGTTCCCTTAAGGGCTCCTTTACAAGGCTCTTTTAGGGTTTAGGGTTTAGTGGTTTAGGGATTTAAGGTTTTTTTTTTTTTTTGAACCCTCTTTTCCTCCTGCCCGGTTGGTTAGTCGGAAGGCCCTGCGGGCTGAGGGGCTGTGCCAACCCCGGCCAAATTTCCCAAGCTTACGAGTGTAAGTACGTAAAGTCACCCACCTAGAGAGTACCGAAAACTCAGCCGGTTCATGGTTCGGACAGCAGAACAGCTCAGGGCGACGAGCACATTGTAGGCACTAACCACCCAAGTAAGATCCGTATGAGATGCCCAACCTAAACGAAGCAACCCTTCGCCTAACAGCTTCGGTCAGCCCCTGGCTGCACGGGTGAAGCTGGAGCATTGCTCAACAGCGGCAAGAGGTCCGCAGCCATCACTGTTGCTGGCCTAATTTTTAACAAAGGCTACAAACTAAGAGAAGTGTGCGGGCCTCATAGCTACGAAGTCAGCTTCAGTGTTACTACTCTACTGCACAGCACCTGACTCTCCGAAAGTTCCACTCTAGTCAGCCGTATCGGACGAGGGTGTCCGCAGACTCAGTTGTTGGCCTTCACGGCGTCGTTCAGCTGCCCGGGTGCGTTCATTGTGGGCACGACGAAGCAGAGCATGGTAGAGGGTCGTGCCGTAGTCATCTATGATGGTCGTGTCCGTTATCAAGCCCCGGCTCCACTTCAGATAGATCTCGTTCTTCTGGCTCTGAAGCATCGAAGTCTCATCATCCATGACTGTCCCTCCTTGCTCGACCGTTGTGGGGCGGTGTTCTGGCTCTGCCTCCTCGGTGTCGGCATCACTGTCCACGGAACCACATTCTTCATGAGTAGGCAAGTGGATCCAGCCCTTGGCCACCAAATGGCGGAACCCCATCAGCACTGCGACTCCATATCGCAGCTCAACCAGGGCGTCCGTCATTTCCCCGGCGCACCAGCTGGAGAAGGAGCCTTGGAACTCCGGGTTCCGTAGCATGTTTTTCCATCCTTCTCCCAAGAACTTGTTGCGGAGTTCATCGCCAAGGGTGGGCTGCCCCACCATTGCGGCGGGAAGTGTCTCCGGCAAGGTGCTTGTAAGCTCCAAGTCGAGGTTCGTCTGGAAGAAGGTGAGAAGGTCTTGGCCACCCGTCGCCATCACTGTCGCTGTGTTCTCTGGATGTTGCTTCCACTCCTGGTACAGCTTTTTGGTAGCAGGGTCGGTCAGCCGAAAGACAACCGGGGGGTCCACATCACCAAGCTTGTCCGGGTTGTACCGCTTAAGCCTCTCCTCTTCTTCTCGGAGAGCCGCTGCTGCATCGTCGGGTGGCTGCCTTTTCTCTCCTTTGCGGTACGTCTCCATGGAGTTGGTAAGGCTCAGGGTCATGCTGATCTGCTCTCCCTCATCGATTTCGAACTCGCTGTACTGGTTTCGCCCCTTTGCCGACACTTCCATGCGTAGGCGCAGCCGTTTCCGAGGTGGGCCCCAGCTCCATCCCATGTGGGCCTGCAGGGCCGCATCGTCTTCTCGCCGTGCACTGATGGACATCTGTCTCTGCTGATGCCACTCAAAGAGGTCTTGATCCTCCTTGTTTTGTTGCTCCTCCTCTCTCTCCCTTTGGGCGAGCTCCGCATCGGCAATGTCCAAACAAACTGTGTCCTCGGAGCTGGCTGCTCCACTTCCCGGTGTAGACCTGGTGAGGCGGTGCTTCCACTTATTGACCCACACAATCTGCTCGCAAAGGGTTTCACCTGTGGCCTCATCCGCCTCCGCTTCCATGTTGGCCGATAACACCGCCTGGATTGCCGGCCACTCAGGGACCAGACTGCTGATCGACCCAAGCTTGTCATAGAGCTGTCTCGCCAATGCCGTGGCTTCGCTGGGAGGGAACGCTTGAAGCTCCTGGTGGAGGGCGTTCTTGTCGTTGCGGACCGCTTGGTCATTCTTGGTGACTCGGAGGGCACCCGTTATGGACCGTTGCATGAGGTCGGTGGCATCTGGCTCACGCTCTGTTTCCCCTTCGTCCGGGTTCGGCCGGGAGGAACTCGAACCGCTATTCGCCTCGTCCAGTAGGCCCTGTAGCTCTTCCCTGATCCTCGCCAGCGCCGGTTCAAGGGCCTCTCCCATGTGCGCTCTTTCACTGCGCGTTTGCTCACGGAGTGCCGTGCGGGTAGCCTCCACTATGTCAGGGTGCAGCGACATGGGTAGTGTCTGCCAGTCAGCTGGCGCCATCATGGGCCCGCCATAGGGGTCAACCCCCAGCAGCATAAGCCATGCACGCTCCGCTGAGTCTCGATCCAGCTCCTCAGTGTCCTCTTGGTCCTCGTCCTCCTCGATCTCGACCGTCTCGATCTCGTCCTTTTCGACCGTGGTCCTTGTTGCCCGTGGCGTGTCACTTGTTCTCCATGGAGCTCCATCGCACCGCTTACTCAAGAGTGAGCGGGCTCCTCCACTCACCAGCGGGCGGGACGAGGCACTTCGGTGTTCTGGATGGGCCGATCGCCAGATCTGCTTGCTCGTCTCGTAGCCCATGTTCTTTCGTTTCGGCTTCAGCATCCATTTCTTCAAGACAAACGAGCTGATGTCGGCCTCGGCGTCCTGACTGGATTGGCTATCATCGTGGTGCACGGGTGGACGTACTGCGCGAGGACGGCGGTGAGGCGTTCTGGATCTTGACAATGCTCGTTGGCGCCGCTCCTGGAGTTCCTCTTCGTACTGCTCTGCACTGCACCAGGGGTCCGGATACTCGTGTGCGCGCATATAGTCCTCGAAGATGTAGTTTCGCATGGCCACTGGGAAGGTTTCATGCAGCCACCTCTTCCGATAGGACCGGGCCAGGCCTCGCGCAAAGTCTCGGATTTCTTCGTCCGTGGCGGGATGCCACGCCATCGGGGGCACCCATCCCCTCCGAACGCGGTGTTGCGCCACCGACGCCCAGACCATGTACATTCCCGTGAAGTATCGGCCGAAGTCCCGGTGGAACCTGTTGTCTCTCATGTCGTTAATGGCCTGCTGGAACGCGTTGACGAGCCGGTGGTGGTCGACACCGCGGTGGACGTACTCAATGCCACTATCTATGAACAGCCAGTACCATGCGGGTCCGTCCATGGGGTCAGGTTCCCAGTCCACAGCATCAGTCAGCGGCATCTGACCAGTGGCAACCCCTGCTATGATCCAAGCGGTCATGAGGAAGCTAGCTTCTTCAGCCTCGTCCCCAGTGGGCTGTGTTCCGGTCATCGAATGTGCGTCCTTCATTCGCTGCCAGCAGGGTCTTCTGGGTCGTGCCGTAGGGCTCGTTGTTAAGGTACAGGGCCTCGTACTCGGTCTGGTCGGTCGTGTTGTAGGGCTCGTCATTGGGGTACAGGGCCTCGTGTCCGGTCTGGTAGTAGGGCTCGGAGCGGAGATGTGGCATACGAGGAGGGTTGCATTGGCCGGCGTCGTGCTGCCACAGGGGGCCATCGAGCGATCTCCATCAGGGCGGGGCTGCCGCCTTTGGCGTCTGCGGCATTGTCGAGGAGACTTGCCCCGTTGCGGGCTTGGGCAGAGATGTCGTGGTTCTCAAGGGCTGAAGGCCGTCCTTGCATTACCGTTGTCGAGCGGGTTGCACCTGGGCCTGCAGCGTAGGGGATGGAGTCGGTCGTCATCATGAGGTTGTCCTGAATCGTGTCGTAGGGCTCGTCGGAGGTGAGCAGGTCGATGACCGTGGTCCGGTTGCGAAACACGGTGTAGTAGCTGGTCACCCCACACTCGGCCCGGCTCACATCGATCGAGTCAATCACCTCAATCTCGGCATGTGTTGAGCTCACATCTAGAGGGGGGAGGACGAAGTCGGCGATCGTCAGCAGGTCGTCCTGGACAATGTCACAGGGCTCGCAGGAAGGGCTCGGGTCCTCCTCCGGAGTAGCCTTCACATCAGTTTCAACCTTACGGTGTGGTAGGGCGGCGTCTTCACTGTGTGCATCCATGACGTCGTGCCCGGGGGGTCTGCGTCGAACTTCCATCTGTCGGTCGCCACTCGGTTCGGGGCGTGTCAGCATCCAGGGGGCGGGCTCGAATCCGTGTCGCCGTTCATGGTGCACCCCTGCAGCTTTTGCCATCCCGGCATCGAATTTGGTGCCTCCCTGGCCACAGGAATGGCCGCCGTCGATGTTGAGGAGGACAAGCGCCATGGTCATCACGAAACATGGCTCTCTCATGGCGTAACACCTTAGGCTGACCAGTCGAAGAAGGTGCAGTCAGCTTCGGTAGCGGCTGCAGCAAGAAGTCATGCAAATTAATCAGGTCGTCTCTGCTCATGCATTGCACATGTGGAAAGTATGGGTACCAAGTCTCATTTAGTGCGGATGTATACCATCACGGAATCAGGTTGCCCAAGAACGTGTAGAAGTGGGGGGGGGGGAGGGAAGGGGGGGCGGGGGGGGGGTCTCTCATCCTGGTCTGGATTCATTCACCCTCCCACAGCTCCCTGTAGGTTTGCGTGTTCTTGTGAGATTGCTCTGTCGGGTAGTGCTGCTTGTCGGCCACTGGCCCATGGGATGTCCTCCCTACGTAGCCACTCCGCCTCTAGGCTGCGCCACTTCGCAGGGTCCGAGGCCACTTCCCTCCATTCCTTTGAGCCGGAGGCGCGGTTGAGCTTTAGCTCTTCGTTGCTGAGGTGTGGGTAAAAGGATGTGGGGTGTACCACACCTGTTCGTAGTCGGGTTTGGGTCTGCCACCACTGGTAGGTTCGGAACCGGTCCAACACCGAGCTTGCTGGTGGCGGATTTAAGGTTTTAGGGCTCAGGGGTTTAGGGGTTTAGGGATTTAGGGTTCTAGGGTTTAGGGGTTTAGGGATTATAGGGTTTAGGGGTTTAGGGATTTAGGGGTTTAGGGGTTCGGGGATTTAGGGTCTATGGGTTTGGGTTTTAGGGATTTAGGGTGTAGGGTTTAAGAGCTTAGTTTGTGGATTAAAGGGCTGTATGCCAGGTTCGGGTTTGGGATTCAAAGGTTAGGCTGCAGGCCTAAAATGCGCTTACCTTTAGCTCGCATTCTGCAGTGATCTACGTGGTTAAAAAAGCTAGCTCTTAGTTGACAAGCCCCGACCGTGACCCGCAGCCCCTGAACCCAAACTCACAAACTCAACACTCCTGACCGTCCAGAGAGTCCAAAACCCCTTAGTTAAGGAATGTACTTTCAATCATACTAAGTTTCTTATTATAATTTAATGTATACTCCTTAATTTAAGGGGTTTTGGAGCGGCTGGGCGTCAACGCAGATCGCCCTAAACCTTACGCCCGTTTCTCAAAAACTCCCCAAGCCTACATATTCCCCGAGAAAATTCCAAACCCTAAACCCTTAAACCCTAAAGAACTCCAGGTTGAAGGTTGATTTCGCTTCGTTACATTAAACCTTCCAAACCCTAAGCCCCAATGAAAACACAAACAACTTGGTGCCCCGAGGATGCCTGCGTTCGCTGACGCGGCCGCGGCATTCGCACTGGAGGCCTTTCTGTTTCAACTGCCCACGCGAAATCCGGTTTTGAGGCACCGTATGTCGGTTTAGGGTTTAGGGTTAAATCAAACGACGCAGGTGTTTTTTGTCAGGTCCATTGTTTTCTGAACCTCTCACTCAAGGGCTGGATGCTAATTACGGTCCTCATCACCACTAACAGAACATCATGATGTCGGTCGCATGTGCCCACAAGAGAGGAATCACAAACACATACGCGCACACACACACACACACACTCACACACCAGCGGGGGTATTCCAAAAGGCGCGAGTGGCAATACAGATCCTGATAAACCACCGCCTCCTTGTCATGGGGATACTAGTCAAGGCCCTCCGGAACGATTTGTTTCCCCAAAACCCCAAATCACAAACTCCCTCACCCTAAAAGCACCCAACAAGCTAAACGAGAAACCCTCAACCCTATAACTCCCGTCTAGAACTGATCACACTAATCTCAAGCCCCATAATACACTGTTCATTAAACAGGCTGTCACTCTAGGACCTAAACCCTGAAATCCCACACCTCTAACCTCTTTAAACCCTTTGATTCCCTTAGTTATAGATCCCTTGTAGGAACCCTGACGGCAATCCTTGCAGCAACACTTAAGGCAACCCAAAAAGCACCCCAAAAGGAATCCAAACAGGAGCTTCGCTGCAACCTTTAAATCAACCCCAAAAACGAAGCCCAAGAAACAAACCCAATAATAGCCCTTAAAGAAGCCCTAACACAAACCTTTTAAGGGAACCCTGAACCCTAGTCCCTAAATCCTTCAAGCAACCCTTAAAGAAACCCTCAAAAAGAACCCTTAACCCTAAGCCCTAAATCCTTAAAGAAACCCTAAAAAAGAACCCTCAAAAGGAACCCTTAAAGGAACCCTTATTCCTAAACCCTAAACCCCAATCCCTTAGGGCAGGCACGGAGGCCTTATAACCCCCTTGAAAGGAACCCTTATAATCCCCTTCAAAGGAGCCCCCAAGCCCCGAAACCCAAAAAAACCCTAAACCCTTAGGGGAACCCCAAAAAGGAATCCCCCCCCTCCCCCCGGCCTGAGACTGCTTTGGCGGCTCTTTGAGCCTCGCAAAAAAAGGCTCTTGGCTTGGGGACCCAGACCCCCACCTAGTAGGGTTCCTCCTTAGAGGGCTCCTTTAAGGGATCCTTTCGGGTTCAGGGTTTAGGGATCTATAAGGGAAGGTAGATCCCCTAATTTAATTTGGGGCCCTATACTACTAAGGGTACTAGAAAGAAACCCCATTGAGGGATCTACTTTTTGGATCCTCCCGGGGGTCTGGGGAGAGATGTGGGGTTGGGAGGTCCTTTAAGGGTTCCCTCAAGGGCTCCTTTAACGGGCTCTACAAAGGTTTCGGGTTCAGGGGTTTAGAGGTTTCGGGATTTCGGGGTTTAGGGTTTTAGGGGTTGTAAACATCAAATTTAGAAGTTTAGGGGGTTTAGGGGGAGGTATGGGGCTACTGAGGGGGTTTGTAGTGTCGTTCGGGGTTTAGTGTTCGGGGTTTAGAGTTGTTCTGGAGGGATGTTACGCAACTTGCCCCTAGAATCTAAAGGATTTCGGGTAGAGTCTGGACGAAAGCCTTCCGGAAGGTTCTTTTTGAAGCGTTTCTCAGCTTAGGGTTCGGTCTTGCTAGCACAGCTCAAGGGGGTTTAGAGTCTAGAGATTTCGGTGGCGCTTGAAGGCTTTATAGCGAATCAACATTTTGGCTTAGTGGTTATCATGCGGCTTCGGAAGCTCGAGGTTACCTTAGTCAGTTGCAAAGCCACTGTCTGCTTCGTAGACGGAATATGTTTTGGAAAACCTAATAAGGACACGTACAAAACTTCATGAGAGGTTTTCTCACCACTGCTTGACGGTGTTGCGATGTCTCCTGGTGGCGAAATGTGTTGCCCAACTTGGCCGCCGCACGGAATTTGCCAAACACAGACTTGAACTTGCTGTCTCACAGGATTTGTCCCTGTCAACCAGCAGCGGCAGCATAGCCACCTGGAGCACCACCAGCAGCAGCCGTCCGCTTGTTCGGACCCCGACTCTGACCACGGGCTTGCTCCAAGGTGCATCTCGTTTCATTCCACCGCATCCGCTTCTCGCACTCCTCCCTACAAGTCACGACAAACAAGTAGGCTTCGTGGTTGCCGCCACGCTTGTCTGGATGACTGAGCAAACTGAGAGCTCTGGCTTTAGCATTCAGCTGTGCGGGGTTACGGTACACAGCCTGTTCATGACAGTTCTTCTCGCTGTGCAAGTAAAAGCAGCGATTGCACCTTGTTACAAGCGCAGGATCCCGGAACCCTAAATAAAGCCCTGAAGCCCTACGACATCAAGCCTTAAAGCCAAAACCCCTAAGGCCCTCTTAAACCCTACACCCCTGAACCCTAAAGCCCTAAAGCCCTAAAGCCCCAAAGCCCGAAAGCCCTAAAGCCCCAAAGCCTAAAGCCTAAACCCCTTAACCCTGAACGCTTATAGTACCCTTGTAGCCCCTTGTAAAGGAACCCTTATAGTCCCCTTTAAAGGAGCCCTGTTCCCCCAAACCCCAAAGCCTGAACCCTCCGGGCCCCCAGCTTCACTCCGGCCAGCAACGAACCCTGGAGGCGGTACAGGAGGGTTTAGCTTGGGTACTCCCCCCCATACAGTACTTGGAGGGTCGGGGGACTTAGTAACTATGAGGGGTTCCTCAAGGGCCCCTTGAAAGGGATCTATAGGGATTCTATAAGGGTTTAGGGTTTAGGGTGCTTGGAGGTCGGGGGACGTAGTAGTTGGATATTTTAGGGACTTATATGTACCATAACTTACAATTAAGGTCCCTTTTAGGGTACTTATAAGTCTACTTACTACCTACTTACTAAGTCCCCCGACCCTCCAAGTAACAGTCTATAATAGGGCTACTATTGGTCCTAAGATATCTATATTATGAATATTATCCAACTGTTACCGAGTGGGACTCCAATATTCCTAAAATCATATTAGGGATCCTACTATAAATTAAGGTATATTCCTTAATTAAGGGGTTTGGGAGTCTCTGGGAGGCGGGGAGGAGGGGAGTTGGGGTTTAGGGGTTTAGGGTTTAGGAAACTGCCTTCTTTTCTTGGGGGCGGGAAGAGGGGAGTTGGAGTTTAGGGTTTAGGGTGTAGGATGTTTAGGGCTTAGGAAGCTGCCTTTTTTGTGGATAGAAGGAGGGGAGCGGTTTAGTGTTGGGGGGTTTAGGGTTGAGGGTTTAGGAAGTTGGCTTGTTTGGTGGAGGGGGAGGCAGGTTTGGGGTTTAGTTCAGGGTTTAGGGCTTAAGGGAAACACCCAAATAAAACTGGCAACCCCTGCACACCACCAAGACCTCTCAAGTACCAGGCCTCGAATCGGCAGAGAATTGCTCCAGCCGGAAATGCCCTGCAGTCAAGTGCGGGGGTTTTGCAGGGGTGCCGTACTACAGGGGGTCTTGATAAGCAGTTTTCTGGTACCTTTACCGACCACCCCACGAACATGGGTGATCATTCCGGTTATTATATGGAGCCCTAAATCCTAGAAACTTTGAAGGAACCCTTCAAGGAACCCTTAACAGAACCTCAAAAGGAGCCCTTCTATGGTGCGTGGCTTCGGCAGCCTATAAGCCCTGAGCACAGGATCCCTAATATGATTTAAGGAATATTCCTGAGTTCAGGGATATTGCAGTCTCTGGGTACTTTCAAGCAGGATTTGGGGGTTTCGCTACCTTATGAGTCGCCCAGATCACTCTAAACGCCGTAGAACTCGTTCACTGAGCCCTAAACCCAAAGGCGAACCCTTCATCCCGAAACCCTAGCATCTAAGGTCGGAGCCTACAGCCTAAAAGTCTAAACCCCTGACCGGAAACTGGGTTTGCCATAGGTCGTTCACTTCCCTTAAACCTGGTCTTGTGCTGATTCTGCTGCTGAAAACGAACCTTCGCCCCCAGTCATATGTGGAGCCTTGCTTTTGTCTGAGGTTTTAGGCCGTGAGGATATTAGGGTTTGTGGCTGGGGCGTCGGCTGAGTAGTCTAGGATTCAGAACTTCAGGGTAGCATGTAGAATGCGGGTTCTTGATACCAAAGAAGCAGACATTACTGCGAGTGGGGAAACACCCCTACATCCTAAACCCTAAACAAGTGACCCTCAAGACGAAATGCTCTGCGGCACTGCCATCATACCTGGAGGGTCGGGGGACTTAGTAAGTAGGTAGCAAGTAGACTTAGAAGTACCCTGAGCGGGACCCTAATTGGGTTAGGATATTTACACGTCAACAAGATAACCAATTACCCTAAACCCCAAACCCCTAAACCCCTAAACCCTAGACCCCCAAAAATAACTAATTGCTAAGTCCCCCACTTCAGACTTACGATCCCTGGCTGTTGGGCGTTCTTGCTGTAAACCCTAAACCCTACTAGGTTAAGGGTTTGGGGTTTAGAGTTTAGGGTTTAGGGTTTAGGGTTTAACCTACCAAGCCCCTAAACCCTAAATCCGAAACCCTACTTGGGTAACTGATTATTTTAGGGACTTATAAGTGCCATAACCCCAATTAGGGCCCCTTCTAGGGTACTTGTAAGTCTACTTACTACCTACTTACTAAGTCCCTGAGCCCTAAGCCCTATAGTTCCCCTATAGAGCCCTTTAAAGGAACCCTTAGAATCCCCTTTAAAGGAGCCCTTACTTACTAAGTCCCCCGACCCTCCAAGTAGACCCCAAACCAAGCGGTGTGGAGGTCCGGGGATGGAGGTTGGGGACATTCGGCGGTTCGAGGACTCAGGCTCTAAACCTTTAAGGCGCGAGTCCTTGAACCTCACCGGCCTGAAAAAGTATTATGTGTATATATATATATATATACATGTATAGATATATAGTTACCTATCTTTATGTATGTAATATAGCACGCCTCTATATCGATGTGTATGTAACATAAGACGATTGAAGCCTCACCCGATATTACAATATCTACAGGATAACCGCAGTGATAGATATTTACAACAACACCCTACACTCGAAACCCTAATCCCTAAAAGCCCTAAACCCTAAGCCCTAAACCCCTAAGCCCTGAACCCTAAACCCTAAACCCCTGAACCCTAAACCCCTCACCCCTAAACACCTAAACCCTAACTAAACCCTAAACCCTAAACCCCTGAACCCTAAACCCTAAACCATAATCACCTAAACCCTAACTAAACCCTGAACCCCAAACCCTAAACCCTGAACCCTAACCCCTAAACACCTAAACCCTAACTAAACCCTAAACCCTAAATCCTATACCCTGAACCCTGAACCCTAACCCTAACAAAGTGCCTCAGCGCAAAGACGCCCAGGCCCGCATCTGCCAGCATCGACTTTGCCACGCTGAGCCTCAGGGGTTTAGGGCTTGCCTTAACCCCACGTGACATACCTTTTTAGGGACATGTATAAAGAAATCGTATTAGGGCGGCCCTAAAAAGGTAGGTTCCGTAGGGTTCAGGTAGGCCTCAGGGGGCTTAGGTTTTTTTTGGCGCTTAAGGGTTTAGGGTTCAAGACTTAGGGGTTTAGGGTGTAGGGTTTAGTGTTTATAGGCTTTAGGGTTTAGGCCTTAGGGTTAGGGTTAGGGTTTTAACCTCTTAGGGCTCGGAGCGCGAGGTTTGTAGGCATTCAGTTCCCATGGCTCGGTGACGCCTAAAACTTCCCAATAGTACTAGTCTTTGGGATTCCTTCTCATCATCAAACTGTAACATACTTGGAGGGGCAGGGGACTTAGTAAGTCGCTTATAAGTAGGGTTACAATTGGGGTAACTCCACTTAGGGTACTTATATCTCTACTTGTAACCTACTTACTAAGTCCCCTGCCCCCCCAAAACCTTCCTAATGTCGAATTATGAAGCCACTTTCTATTACTGCCTTCTGAGCTCTGTTTGTATTTCTCTGGATTCAAGATGTAGAGTTTTGCTCTACGGTTCAGGGTGTGCACAACAGGTCGGTGAACTAAGTAGAGGATTAGGGACTAGCGAAAGGAGCTAACGTAGGGGCCTTACTAATTCGAGCAGCACGTTGGTGCCCATTGAACTATAGTTAGAAGAAGGAACCCGCACAATAGTCTAGGTAATTATGTTGGCCCTATATTCAAGAAAAATAGGCAGCTGTAGTGGACCTATACTAACAGCAACCCCAATTGAACTAGTAACTACTCAGCCTTCGCCATGAAATAGCCATCAACCCTCAAATAGGATGGCCTGAGGCACGGCATTTGGTCGCCTAGAGACTTGGGCATCAATCAAACAGGGAACGCGACTTAGATTGTAGAAGGATCCTTCATGCACAAAACCTAAGGAAGATGGCCGAACTGCAAATTTTGAGAGTCTCTGGCTCCCTGGCCACCTGGCCGCAAGGGGGGCTTACGCAGTAACCCTAAGCCCTAAACCTTAAACCCTAAACCCTGAACCGAGACACAGTATTCGACCCCAAGTCACGCCCGAATTCTGGGCTTTGTAATCTTGCTGGTTCATGTGTAGTAAGTGGAGTTATAGTACGCCCCCTTATAGTATAGTTGACCCCTTTAAAAACTTCATTATAATATTCATGAACCTCCAAGCAATCTTGGTAAAATGGAGGCCAGAATTATGTGTGGCAATATCCCCGGGCTCCCTATCATAACTGGTTCCCAAACCCTTAAACATGAGGGTCCCCATTTTACTATTATTCAGCCTTAAGGGAGACAGTGTCCTGCAGGGCACCAAAGCTCGACAATCTCTCAGCCCGGCTACTGTTAGCTGACTACGTGCAGCTCACCATGATTCTGTATCACTGATCAGGAACGGATCAACGAAGATCTCACGAGCCCCATATCGTCGACGTCGCTGTCGCGGGGGCATCTGACGTTGCGGGGGCCCATCCTGCATCATGAGCGACAGACGTAGCCGCCCACCCCAGGCAATCGGGACTCCGGTTCCGACAGCACACAACGATCCATCTGTGCTTCTTTGACGCCTCCCAATAGACTTCGGTATGCTTGGGACCTCCCACCCAGCACGTGGATGAAAAGCAGGAGGCTGCTCAAATGGAGGAGGCGGTCCGGCGCGATCCCCATGGGCGTCACCAAGCGCACCGGTACCTGGAAGACGGCGCCCGTTGTCCGGTTCAGGCAGCGTAAAGCCGAACGGCTCGAGCTTGAACCTGAATCCTAGTTCCTGAATCTAGGGTTTAGGGTTTAGGGTTTTGGGTAGATCTTAGTCCCTAAAGTCCCCTAAGACCAGACACTTGCACCCTGAAGAAAACCCTTATGGGAACCTCACAAGACGCCTCAAAATCCCGATCACACTCTGTAAACCTAGGTAAACCCTATATGCAAAAACAACAGACGAAAAACGCTTAAATCCCTGTTTGATCTCCAATAATTCAAAGCCTAAACCCCACCAAAAATCCATATGGGAACTTTTCAAGACCAATTGAAGGGACCCGATTGTAGTACCCTTTAGCATTAATCTTTCGAGCCCAATAATCCCAGAGCAATCCCAATACAGCACCCGTTAACATTACGTATCGTTTCACATTACCCTGACGAGCCCTACTTACTAGGTTCCTGAGTAGCCCCTTCATAAGCGTACCCCTTTTACTACATTCTGCTTTCATAAGGAGACGCCAAAATCAATACGGCAAAAGGGCACTACTCCGGAACCTAGTTATTTGAACCCTAAACCCCATAGATCCCTTACGAAACCCTCTAAGGAGCCCTTTAAAGGGTACTACTCCGGAACCTAGAAACCCTCAACCCTAAACCCTAAATCCCTAAAACCCTAAAACCCTAAACCCTCAACCCTAAAAACCCGAAACCCTCATCCCGAAAACCCTAAAGCCCTAAACCCTAAATCCCTAAACCCTTAAGGAGCCCTTTAAGGAACCCTTGTAATCCCGTTTAAAGGAACCCTTGTATAATCCCCCTTTAACAGGAACCCGATAATCCCCTTTAAAGGACCCCGAACCAGCGAGACCGGGGCCAGGGTCGATTCATCTCCGCCTCCCGCCGGACCCCCGGCCTCCGGATTTTGGATTCTGGGAGGTGTCGTTAAACGGCTCTGGCTTAGGGAGTTTAGGGTTTAGGGGGTTTAGGGTTTTAGGGGGTCTAGGGTTTAGGGTTTAGGGGGTTTAGGGTTTTAGGGGGTCTAGGGTTTAGGGTTTAGGGGGTTTAGGGTTTTAGGGGGTTTAGGGGGTTTAGGGTTTAGGTCTCTACGATTTGGGGAGTTCACTGAATTAGGGTCCCGTTGTAGGTCCCCAACATAGTACGGCATCTTTTGTAAAAAAACCTAAATTCAAGCAGTTTCCCGTTAGACTTTGTTGCTCCGTGCCGCAGCGTAGAAGTTTAGATTCCAGATACACAGACGATTTGAGAACCAAGACCGTCCAAAGTTCACAAACTCAGGCACTGAGTACGGGTTGCCGAGAGGGATTGAAGATCTTTATGGCCGTGGACAGTGCGGGGGCTTGCAGGGTCTGACAAGGTTTGGCGTAGGACCCCACCACCCCGAAACAACCCCTAAAAACTCTAAACTCGAAACCTGAACGCTGAACCTGAAACCCAGAACCCCCAAAACCCTAAACTCGACCAAACCCCTCTAGGAGGCTTTCAAATTCGCCAAGGCGGCAAAAGCTTCACCGGAAGAGGGCAGAAGCTGCGATACCTCCATGCGGACAGTTCTCTAAATTTGCGTCCCTTTTCGTGGGCTTCTCAAAGGGATCCAGAAGGGTTTCAAAAAGGATACTACAGGCAGTTCTCTTAGGGCTTAGGGCCTAGGGAGCTCAAGTGGGCAACATGATGCCTAAACCCTGGTTCAGCCTGAAACCCTTTGAGACCGCAAACTCTCTGTACCACATGGCGACCCAGGAAATGCAATATGAGGGCGCCTCCATAGTTAGAATAGGTGGTGCACAATACAGCAGAGTGACATTAAGGAACAGGAAGGAATGACTTCTTCAATTGTTCACTTGGAGGTTCATGGGTAGTCATACGTAGGGCTATAAGTCCCTTAATGTGGGTTACAAGTACAGTTACCTTGCTTATAACCCCACTTATAACTACCCATGAACCTCCAAGCAGGGCCCCGATCTGAAGCCTCACCCTTTTCGTCTCCCCCTGAAGAAACCCTTAAAGAAAAGCCTAAACCCTAAACCGAAACCCCTAAACCCTAAACCTCTGAACTCTAAACTCTAGATTTACCCCAAACCTCTAGATGATAAAACCTAAACCTCTAGATCCTATTCTCTTACTGAGGGAAGCTTCGACCGTCCCCAAACTGGGCACTTTGCTGGAGGGTTTAGGGTTCCTTTAAAGGAACGATAAGGGTTCCTAGGTCCCATGATGGATCTGTAAGGGTACTATCAGGGGTTTTGGGCTCGAGGGTCTGGGGTTTAGGGGTTTGGGGTTTAGGGTTCAGAGGACTGAACCAGGCTTGAATGGGGGGCTTTAGGGTTTAGGGTTTGGGGTTGAGGGTTTAGGGTTTAGGGTTTAGGACAGTTTAAAATCTAGAGTTTAGAGCTTAGGGAACCCTCGAAGGTCAGAGAAATCCGGCGCACACTTGCCGTGCCGACTTTGCCGCGTCCTGAGGCGCACCTTCGGTTCGACGAGAAGGGTCTCGAGGTCTAGAGTTGGAGTACTTGGAGGTTCATGGGTAGCTACAAGTGGGGTTGTAAGTAGTACAATTACCTATAGTAATAACTCCTCCAAGTACAGGCTTTCGAGATTTTATAGGGAGTTATAGAGGTGTACAGGGTTTGAAGGGTTGTGCGGGAGGTGCAGGGTTGGGGTGGGGAATGTTATAGAGGCTTGTAGGGCGGGTTTAGGGCTTCTAGTGATTTAAGGCTGAAGGTATCGATGTGGGGTTAGGGTTGGCGATCTGCAGCTAACCTCGAAAGCACAAAAAAAAACTAAATATCTAAGCCCTACATCTCAAAACCGGCATAAGCCCAGGAAGTTCAAAACCTGTACACAAAACCCCTATGTAGCCTCAACCTCATGCCTTACTATTACAGGCCTGTTCAGCCGCAAGACTGGAGTCTTACACGGACCCTCGACCCTAAACCTTCAACCTCAACCTAAAGCCCTAGATCCTAGAACCTTACTTGGAGGTTCATGGGAAGTTAGAAGCCGGGTTACAAGTCCCTAATATGAGAGTTGAGAGTGTAGTTACCGTACTTATAATCCCGCATATAGCTACCCTTGAACCTCCAAGGAACCCGAGCACCTCCGGGACTTGTGGAGTGCCCATTCTCAGGCCTGCATGGTGCTTCGGCATCGGGTGGGGTTTGGGGTTTCGGGTTTGAAAGTTTAAGGCTCAGGGGGCTTACGGTTTAGAGTTTAGCGTTTAGGGCTTAGGGTTTAGGGTTTGAAGGTTTAGGGCTCAGCGGGCTTTGGGAGTTCACAGATTACACTCGGAGGCTTGGGGCTTCGGTCAGGGCTTAGGTTGACGACCTAGGATTTTAGGCTGCATGGCCGAGAGTGTTGACAAAGGGTCCAGCGTACGTCGATGGTATAAGGCTGAGGATTGGCCAGAGCAGCGGGTTAAGGGCTTATGGTATAGATCTTCTGGTCTGAGGTGTCAGGTTTGGGATGTTGGGTTTAGGCTTAACGGTGCATACATTTGCGATGTTTATCAAGCCTGAGAGTTAAGACTTACCAGGTGTGGCTTCGAACTTGGTCTCGTGGAAAGGGACTCGGCGAGCGAGTCACCTGTGTAGAGGCATTAGCCAGCCTGCAAACATATTCTAACTGCCCTGGACCCTAACCCTGAACCGCTAAACCCTAAACCCAGGATTCAGGATTTCACGGGGAACTCTAAACCCTAAACCCTAAACTGTGGGCTTCAGGAATTCGTCAATCTAGAATTACTCAGAGGCTCATGGGACTAAGTAAGTAAGGCTATAAGTAGGTTATAATTAGGATAACCCTACTTAGGGGACTTCTAGCCCCTGTTACAACCTACTTAGTTACTAACTTCCATGAACCTTTAAGTACGGATCTTAGGATAAGAGCTGCTGCCTCCCGTCGTGGCTGCGGCTGCGACTGCGGATCTGTCCACCTCGGGTTTAGAATTTTCTGAAGGGTCCTAAACCCTAAACCCGAAGTCTAAATCCTAAATCCAAGGCTTTTGGGGTTCAGGGCTGAGGGGGTAGAGTGTATCCAACTTAATTAAATCAGCACGGGGATTCTTCATACCTTCGGGTGTTGATTTGGGTTTAAGTTTAAGGTTCAGGGTTCTTGCTCAAGCACGCGACGATAATACTGTTCCAACTTCGATATCTACAACTTGGAGGTTCATGGGTAGTTATAAGTGGGGTTACAAGTCCCCCAAAATAGGCTATTGGCAAAGTTACTTTACTTATATCCCCACTTTTAACTACTCATGAACCTCCAAGTATAACGGGTGCTTCCTTGGAAGCCGTAGGTTGTTAGCGAGATCAACTCCCGATGCCCAGGGCTGACGGCTCGAATCTGAGGCGTCTGTGAGTTAGGCTCAGGGGGACGAGGGTTGTTGGCTTAGGGAAGGGCTCTTGCAGCGTTCTTTTTAGGGGGCTTAGGGTTTAACAGAGAGCCCAATACCCGTTAATTAGGGAATACCCCTTCAACAAAAAAGTAGCTTTTCAAGCATATTCCTTGATTAAGGGGTATTGGGCTCTTGGGTGAGGGTGCAGAAGGCGTTGTCGGTTAGGGTTCCGGGCTGCCGGCTCATCCTTTCGGGTTTTATGTCAACGTCAAAGCCGGTTCCCCAAGCAAAGGTTTAGGGCTTAGGGCTTAGGGCTTAGGGTTTAGGGTTTAATTTTTTTAGGGCTTAGGGTTTAGGATTTATGAGTTTAGGGCTTAGGGTTTATGGTTTAGGATTTTAGGGCTTAGGGTTTCAGGGTTTATGGTTTTGAACCTCAATCCCGCTAAAGACCTGCGCAATACATCCCTTAGACAGCCCGACACCCACCGTATTGAAACGCTGCAGGAACCCTCAACCCTAAACCCGAAACCCTAAACCATATGGGTTGTTGTCAAAATTATGGCCCGTTCTGGGGTACCCTAAATATTAGGTGTCGTATTATCTTAGGAAGCCAAAAAGGGACCCTAATTTTGACAACCACCCATATGAACGCTGCAGGTGAAACCCCCAAGCCCATGGATTTTTCTCCGAGACGTTGGCAAGTCCCACTGCTGTCCTGCTCTATGGCTTCTAGGGTTTGGGCTTCCAGCGTTTCCTGGATCCTTGTAAAGACGTTAATGTAAGTTACCATAGTAGGGACAGCCCGGTATTTATTTTGGATCCCTACTTTGGTAGCAGAAACAGGCTTAAGCTGAACTCCTTAAGAACCCCTAGCCAAAGGAACGCTAAATGATGGTAACTTGAATTAACTTCTACGTGAAACGTCTTAGCAAGAGCCCAGTTGAGGACTCAGGGATTAGAGTCTCAGACGGCGTTTGACGGCGATCGAGCAGAATCACGGCTGCCATCCGGAATGTATATATGTTATCTAGTAGTGGGAAACGCTGGCAGGATAAACGCGCAAAGCTTGCTATGGGAGTCGTAAAACAGCCACAGTCTGGCAGGTTCAGAAAGCAGGGAGGCCAACCCCGAAACCCTAAACCCCTAAACCCTAAGTTAACTAAGCCCTACAAACCCCTCAACCCCGGAACCCCCAAACCCCTCAACCCTCAACCCCGAAACCCCTAAACCCCCAAACCCTAGACCCTAAAACCCCTAAGTCCCTAAACCCTAAACCCCTAAACCCTTCGCCTCTCAACCCCTCAACTGAGGTGGGCCCTCAACCCCTAAAAAAAACCCTCGGAAGGAGTCCTTGCTTGGCACACCGCCCTGTCCGGGCTCGGGGCTGTTGCCACCCATCCTTTCGAGGGTGTAGGGTTTAGGGGTTTTGAGGAGTTTAGGGGCTTTAGGGGTTTTAGGGGCTTTATGGGTTTAGGGTTGAGAGTTTAAGGGTGTAGGGTTTAGGGGTTTAGGGTTTAGGGTTCAGGGTTTACGAGTGAGGTCGTGCTTGGAGGTTCATGGGTAGGGTAGAAGTAGGGTAAATATGATTACAAATTTGGAGCTTCGTTCTCCAGCTGGGTTTGAGCTTAAAGAGCCCGCCACCTGAGACAAATACAACCAGCTCCAACTTACTTGACGGGCTTGATGAAGTCTCAAGGGGCTTTTTGGACGCTGTGGAGCTCAAGGGTTTATGATTTGGGATTCTCCGGAAATAGTAGAATCCTTATTATAACGACCTCAAAATAAGGTACCCCTTGTTTTCGTAAACCCCCAAGTTCCGGCGCTTATAGGTGGCGGTGATCAGTGGAGCTGCAGATGCTGTCAGGCGGACGACGTGCGCTTATGACTTCATCTGCAAAATCTCCAGGTTGCTCAATACATTCCATTAAGACGTACTGGTGGAACTAAAAGTTAACAATTGGAATTATATAGGTAGTATACGATACCCCAAAAAGGTTAGAGGCTACCTACTCTACTACTCGCACTACAACAGATACCCGGGGCAATCACAGCATCAGCGAAACGTTCCCCCTGATGGTCATAGTTAGGGTCATGCTCATGAACATGAGGAGCAGCAGCGACAGGAGCATATGTAGTAGTCCTGGTAAGTGATGACGGTTATGATGATGTTTCTGGTGATGATTGTGATGGTTATGATGATGGCAATGCTGATAATAAAGGCAGAAACAACGATGGATATGATGACGGCAGTCATGGTGGCGACGATGAAATATTGGTGATGAAGATGATAAAGAAGACGATGACGATGAAGATTGGGATGCTGACAGACATTGAGATGGAGCTGACAACAAAGAGGAGTATGAAGATAATGACAATGATGATGCTGATGTTGATGATGCTGATGCTGGCGATGATGGCGATGGCGATAGCGATGGCGATGTCGATGAGAAAGAGGATGAGGATGAAAATGATGACGACGATGATGACGATCACCATCATCATGCTCATGCTGATGCTGATGCTGATGCCGATGCTGATGCTGTGCTGATGCTGATGCTGATGCTGGTGGTGGCGGTTGTGGCTGCGGTTGTGCTTGTGGTTGTGATTGTCGTTGCCGTTGACGCAGTAGCTGTAGCTGTCGCTGTCGCTGTCGTTGTCGTTGTCGTTGTCGTTGTCGTTGTCGTTGTCGTTGTGGTGGTGGTGGTGGTGGTGGTGGTGGTGGTGGTGGTGGTGGTGGTGGTGGTGGTGGTGGTGGGTGGTGGTGGTGGTGGTGGTGGTGGTGGTGGTGGTGGTGGTGGTGGTGGTGGTGGTGGTGGTGGTGGTGGTGGTGGTGGTGGTGGCGGCGGCGGCGGGGGTGGTGGTGGTGGTGGTGCCGTGCTGGTGGTGCCGTGCTGGTGGTGCCGTGCTGGTGGTGCCGTGCTGGTGGTGCCGTGCTGGTGGTGCCGTGCTGGTGGTGATGGCGACCCTGACGGCGCTGATGATGCTTGTGACAGGACGATGGGGAATCAAACGACAATGTCGATAACCACCACAACCTCGACAACCACCAACCGCTGCAAGCAGCAGCACCACCACCACCACCTCCAGCAACAGCACCAGCCCAACCACAACCACAACCACCACGATGACGAGGACAAAAGCAACGGCGACGACGACAACAACGTTTACGCACAGGCTTCAAACTTTCCCGTCAAAGGTTCAAGCTTCAGGCTTTGAGGCTTCGGCTTTCGGCGTTAGGCTTCAGGATATGGGCTTCAGGCTTTAAGGTTTAAGGTTTAAGGGTTAGGTTAGGCTTCAGGATACAGGCTTTAGGGCTTTAGGGGTGTAGGATTTAGGGGTTTAGGGTTTGGGGGATCTTTGCAGCGAGACGCAGCTCTGCCGTAGGCGTGGTTTGAGCCGGGGAGCTTGCCTCATATTGGCTGATACTTGGAGGGTTGGGGGACTTAGTAACTGGTGATTTTAGGGACATATAAGCGCCATAACCCCAATTAGGGTCCCTTTTAGGGTGCTTATAAGTCTACTTACTACCTACTTACTAAGTCCCCCGACCCTCCAAGTGACACCCAAACAGCCCAAGACTTAATTCCACTCAAATTATAGGCCCCTTCACAGTATTTCTGATTTATATTACTGAAGAAAGGGGTGTTGGGCCCTTTGGGTACTCCACATCTGCCAGCCCTAAACAAGCGAAAACATCCCCTACCTTTCATGTTTCAGCAGCATGCTGGGATGCACTTCCCGCAACTAACCTGCTCGACTCGATTGCTTCGAAACATAACAAAGCCCCTAAACTGTGAGACCGTAAAGCCCTGAAACCTTCTAAACCATTAAATCCTGAGCCCTACATAGACCCTCAACCCTACAGCTCTCAAAGCCTGAAGCCCCAAACCTTCTAAGCCTCAACCTTGGGTGCTGCCCCGTGGGTGGGGGCAGTATCCAATTTAAACCACCCAGAATCTGACTTCGACAGGATCAGGGATACTCTAAAGCTCTTGTTCAGGAACTCCATACTTTAGGGTTCCTTTACCCTGACTGTATGGCTCGATATAACGGTTTTTGGTTCGGGAATTTAGATTACATTACCACAGTAAGGAAACCCTATGATTTACTATCGATCGCTATTATGGTAACTTAAACTAAGTTCGCTAACCAGAACCCCGAAACCCTAGACTTCCACATTAAACTTCGGCGTTTAGGGTTGAGGGTTCAAGGTTTAGGGTCTAGGGCTTCCTTCAAGGGTTTGTCACTACGGGTTGTGACTTTGCAAGGTGTTATGAGGTTTAGGGTCTAGGGGCCCTGACAATCAGAAGAGGATGTCGGGCACAGTACTATGTACTGTACTATAATTGCCATTAGGGACTATAGAATCCTTCCTGAAACACCTAAAACTTCAACTTTGAAACTTCCACGAGGATGCGTGAATCACCCTAATGCCTAAACCCTGAACCCTGACCGCCAAAAGAACCATAAAGGAACCCAAACCCTTAAACCCTGAAGGAACCCTAAAACCCTGAACCCTACAGCAACCCTGAAACCATGGAATTTGCCAGAGCTGCGCCGGAGCTTGCAGCTGGAGTGGGCGCTTCGTCCGCGTCCGCGGCATGAGGCACCTGACTTACTTGGAGGGTCGGGGGACTTAGTAAGTAGGTAGTAAGTAGACTTATAAGCACCCTAAAAGGGACCCTAATTGGGGTTATGGTACTTATAAGTCCCTAAAATAACCAGTTACTTAGTCCCTCCAAGTACAGGCTTCAGGCCCCAAGGATTGGGGTTTACGGTTTGGGGTTTAGGATGCTGGATGTAGGATGCTAGGGTTTGGGGTTTAACCTTTGGGTCGTACCCAACTTGATGGGGATGTCGGGCAACGTTAGAGCGGGTTTATACAGCTTAGGGGCTGCAGTATGGGGTATAAGACTTCGGGTCTAAAGTTTGTGTTCAAGGGTTCACTTACGGATTACCCTCAGCTATCACAACCTACCTTCTTGACATTAGAGTCCGTATAAATCGATGTTAAGGTGTATAACAAAACCCAAAAATGTGTATAGTCTTAGTGGTTGGGGTTTGGTTCCTGCGTTTAGGCTCCAGCGCCTTACCAAAAAGTCTCCGGTACCTTCTGTAGTCTCCCAGTAAAAAACCCTTCCACAGAATTCATCCCTAAAGCCTGAACCCAAAATCCTAGACCTCAACACGAAAGTCACAAACTCCAAACCGTAAACCCAACCAAAAAACGCAACCCTAAGTCTACCCCCAAACCCTAAGTCTACCCCCAAACCCTAATCCTAAACCCAAAACTAAAGCCGTAAATCCAAGTCCTCAACCCTCGGATTTCCTGGGTAGTAGGAAGGGCCTGGGGTTTAGGGTTTAGGGTTTAGGATGTAGGAAAAGGATTTTCCCACTTTCTGGCGATCTCTGTAACTCTTGCGCGTGGAAGTTGAGGGCACTATAGGATGCTATCAGGACTCACAAAAAGGGTTCTACGAGAAATTCGTCTATGATGGGATTGTACTGAAATCGAGACCCCTCCTTGCTAAACCCCCTTTCCGAAAAGGCCCTGATATTCAGATCTCCGTTATAATCCTAAGCCCTAAAGCCCACGTTAGTTTACACAAGACTCTTTTTCTCGACTTCGTTCGGAAGAGCCGTGTGCATAGTTAGGGGAAGGGAGTTGGTTAATCAGGGATCTACAATGGGTCTTCCACATCAAGGAGGATCCTTAAACGAGTTCTATAAGGGATCTACTATAGAGTTCTATAGTAGGGGCCTTAGTAATTAGAATGATGTTTTGGGGCCCATTATATTATACTTATACTCAGAAGCCCCACAAAATTGTATAGGTACTTATTAAGGCCCCTATATTAAACCCTGAACCCTACCTGGACCCTAGAAAGGCTACCTTTTGGGGTTACTTACTATGACTTCTTTTATATGAACCAGGTAGGGTTTAAGGAAACCCCCACTTGGAGGGTCGGGGGACTTAGTAACTGGTTAGTTCAGAGACTTACAAGTACCATAACTTACAATTAGGGTCCCTTTTAGGGTACTTATAAGTCTACTTACTACCTACTTACTAAATCCTCCGACCCTCCAGCCCGATCAACGGCCTTGCTCCGCATGAAGGCCCTTAGCGCCGCTGAAAGGGGCTGCCCTGCGGCAGCAGCCGTCAGCACATCGGCCGCCGTCATTGCAGCGGATTCCGAGGACTCTCGCCCCAAGTCTTCCAAGAGGCCGCAATCAAGAAGGGTTTAGGGATGCGGGTAGACTGAAAGCCTGTCTGTTCTGCAATATACGCCCAAACACCACACACTAAAGTAGCAACAACCCTAAATCCTAACACTAAGCCCCAAGTTAACAAGCCCTAAACTACACCCTGAATGCGAACATCTTGCAACATAAACCGCTCGCAAACCGTATAAAGCCATAACTCTTGAAGTCAGAGCTTGTTTGGAAGACTCAAGGGGGTTCCTCAAAGCAGAAAAGCCCCGCACAGTATCTCTTGGAGGGTCTTGGTGTTTCGGGTTTAAGGTTTAGGGGTTCATGGAGAAAGTCCAACCAAATGTGGGAGTTACAGCACACAAGGTGCCAGGTTTTCAAGATGATTAGCAGGGTCAGTGTCCTCAAGCCCATGCACTTGGGGAAAAAGGCGAAGGGATCGGGCTTAAGGTGTTGGCCGCTAGTGTTTCTATGATAATTGAAACTCTTGCAGTATGATGACGTCAGTGATGTTGGCTAAGCGCATTAGAGTGTTGATACAAGCAATATGACACATAGGGGCGGGGGACGGTAGCAAGCAGGCTAACAAACCCGCCGAAGGCACGGAATTGAGCCATGAAGCAGATTGGGGTGGACGGCTGCATTTCACCCTAGGCCCTAAGCAAAACCTCAAACACTAAACCCTTAAACCCTAAACCTCTTAAACCCCAAACCCTGAACCCTAAAACCCTAAAGCTACGAAATCCTATCGACCTTGCGCCCAAACTTACAACACACCATTCAAGAATCCGTCTTTAGGACGTGCCCCCCCCCCCCCCCCGCGGAAGTTTGAAACAGCTCCCGGTTACCTGCTTTTCAAGGGATTTATGTAGGGCTTAGGATTTCGGGTTCGGAGTTTAGGATTTACGATTCGGGTTCCGGGTTTAGGATTTCGGGTTTTTGGAGTTCAAGGGCTGTCAGAAGCACCCCTGAAGACATGAGCCTGGGCCTCACTGCCTAAGCCCTGCTTGGAGGATCATGGGACTTGGGGTGAAACCTTCGGTTCATGGTTCCTGTACTGGTTATAAGGGTTACTACGAGGGTTGCTATTAGAGATCCTGTACTTGGAGGATCATGGGGCTGGTCAGGTAAAGGTTGTTAAGGGGGTAACGCTTAAGGGTTTCTATAAGATTGCTACTTTAAGAGTTCTGAACTGTTGAGGTTTAGGGTGCCTAATGGGTAAGGGTTTTGGGTACCTTGGGTGGGGCTACAAGCAGTTATGTGTATGTTACCCTCTTCATAATCTCAGTTTCAACTAAGTCTCCGGATGATTCCAGTACCCCGCACCCTAATGCTCTTACAGCCCCAAACACTAGATCCCCCGAGCCCTGAGCACCCACCCCAGCACCTCACTACTGAAACCCAAGTCGGTAGACATTCATCTAGGGTACTCATAACCTTACCTACTAAATCCCAAACACCCTCGAATCCTATAGAACCCTTATAGTAGTAACTTTATTGAAACCCTATTAGCCCTTAAAAGGCTTTGCACACTAAGTCCCACAGGGCATCGGATGTCAGAGCGATGTTACGTAGCAGCGCAGTTCACGGCCGTCGCTGTGCTTTAAATGGGGCCGTCTGCCGCCTGCTCACTGCAAAGTCCTGCCGAGTGCCGGCCAAGAAAATAGGTGCATGCGTTAGGGTTTAGGGTTTAGGGGTTTAGATTTAGGGGTTTAGGGTTCAGGGTCTAGGGGTCCAGGAGGCCAGGGTTGACGTAGGGCTTAGGGATGATTCTGAAGACAACCCGACAAGAGTCTGCAAGGATTCCATCTTCAGGGTCCAAGCAAGAAACCAGTGTTTCAACTACACATGTCACCACTTGTAACTTTATGTCAGGCACGTGTAACCCATGAATCTTCTATATCCCCCGTATTGCATGTTAGGATTTCGGGTTTAGGCTTTTAAGGTTTGGGGCTTAGGGTAGAGGGCAAAGTATAGGGTACAGGGTGAAAGGTATCGGGTTTTGGGTTTTGGGGATTGGGTATACTGCGGTGAAACGAAAGTTTGACCTATTCGATGTTTCGTCGAAAGCAGACCCCCATTCCCCCAATAGAATCCTAACAAGCAAAACCCACCGGCTAGACCTCCGGAACATTACGTTTTGCAGCGGATCCGGCAACGGGGGGTCAACGTCCACCCATTCATAGGTGTTCTCCGCGATGCCGGACGGGTCGAGCTGGCGGAGCTACTCCGGCTTCCAGGTGTTGGCCTCCTTGGTCGGGCGGAGCGGCGCCACCATCCAGGTCCAGCAGGTTGGTCGAGGTGTCGTCGCCGGGCGGGGCCGGGCCAGGCACCGAGGTCGGGGCATCCGCGGGCGGAGCGGAAAAACGGAGCGGGGTTAGCCCCAGCCGGTCGGCAAAGGCGGACCCCATTAAATCATGGAGCCGCAGGATCTCCTCCGGGGTGAGGTCACGGAGCGCAGGCCAGAGGACCTCGTCCGGAAAGTGCATGAGTTCGGCCAGCACGTCGCTCACGGGCGGAAGTGCCGCGTGAGTGCGGGCGGAAGCTCCGGCGGCACACGCGGACGCGGACGGAGCCTCACCAGCGCCAGCGGTCGGGGCCACACCACCGGTCGGGGCGGAAGCCACGAGCAGTGTTGTCAACATCAGGCGTTGTAAGCCACCGGTTCTGACTCCAAAGGACCCTGAGCCACCGCAGCCCGAACTTAAAACCTGAAATTACCTGAAGCCGCAAAGCCCCTAAAGCGAGAACCCTGGCATCGTTAAGGCGACGGCCCCAAACCCCCGAAACCTCAAATCACAAACTCACAAGCCCTAACACGGCCAAACCCACACACTTCAAGCCCTCATCGAATCCCTGACGCATTTCGGCATGCCAAACCAAGCTTCCAGAACAATCTACCCTACGACAAACACCTGAACGCACACTGTCAGTTTTGATTCGTTCCAAGTGCCACGGCACCAAATTACTATAAAGGCCTTAACGGTTAGAATACGGTTTGGGGCCCCATTATACCATCAGTATAATAAGGAAACCGGAAGATAGTACAGGTAAGGTAATTATTAAAGCCCCTCATATCAAACCCTTTCTTCTTAATAATTACCTATACCATTTTGGGGGGGGTCCTTATTGTGATAACAGTATACTATGCCCCAACACCCTATTCTAATTATTAAGGCCCTATATTACACAGAAGGTTTTGGCTTTGGATCTTTGGGGTTTAGGCTTTCGGGTCTATCCCTGGGCTTGGAGTTGCGAGTTCGAATTCCTGAAATTCCTCTTCTTTTGTCTTAACTAGACCCAGCTAAACCGCGGTTACCTCTATGGAAGCCTGAAAATTGCGGATTACAAGATACAGGCTTCTGAATCATTGCGGCCCGGTTTACATCCGACTATAAACCAGTAAACCCGAAACTCCAAACCCTAAATCCTAGTGTAGCGAAGGAAAATCCCTCCCTGAGCCCCAGAAACCTTCGACGTCAGGCAGTCATCCCGAAGCATCGGCTGGCAGCCTACACCATGGCTTTACACAACTTCCGGGTGTTAGGTCTAAGTGCTCTTGTCGGATGCCCTTTAGGGTTTAGGTTCCAGGGGCCCCGGTAAGGGTCTGGCGTCTGGCGGTTGGCCTTCTACTTCTTTTATGGGACCTCCCGTCAAAAGCAGAGCACGAAGTATCAGGTCTAGCCTATACGGCTTCAGGATTAGGTCTAGTGTTGAATCAAACAAGAGCACTACTCATAAGGTCCAGGGTGTAATATAAGGTCCAGGTGTAAGGGCTCATGGCTTAGGTGATATGGGCCTGACTAATCGATAGTATTGTTCCCAAGGGCTCCTTATTGTTTCCTAAAGTATAATACGCCCTGTTCTCAATATTCAACACCCGTTATCAAGTTGCAGGAAGCCTAAACCCCAAACCCCAGCCGTAAACCCTCAACCCTAAACCCTCAACCCTAAACCCCAAACCCTGAACAAACCCTAAAACCCTGAACCCTAATGGGGGGGCTGGTCGGATCCGGTCGTCGTTGCAGGACTTGCGCGTTCATATATATGTGTGGAGGCTGTAGGATTGACATAAACTAGGAGTTGGGTCCCTTTCAAGAGAGCCAGAAGTAGGGTTAAGAAGGCCTCCCTAATACTACCTTGGACATAAACAGTTGATTCCAGCTGCATTTTACGATAAGGATATTATACGTGTTGACCTTAATATTTGTATCTGTGTTTGTACGTTTATTCCACACATATCTATATATATATGTATGTATACACATATCTAAGACAGCTGCTTATCTGTTTGTTCAACAGACTATTCTTTATCTGCCTTCATTGTTACCCACCTTACATGTAGCCACGAACCTCCAGGTAGGAGATTGTACTCGGTGTTTGGAGCTTCGAGTTTTTAAGGAGTTTCCCAGCTGTGCTCCCGAAATCGGTGGCACTTGGGCTTTGATGTCCTTGTGTTTGCCGGACGTGAACCAGTGACATTCGTAGGAATCATCAAGTACCTCGCCTTCCCAAAGTTAACGTGGACTTCCGATTCATTCGCTCCAACCCACGAACGCAGAGACTCCAATATCAATAATTAAGGAATATTCCTTAAATCATATTAGGGATCCTATCATAATTTAAGGAATATTCCTTAACTAAGGGGTATTGGAGTCTCTGGGAACATAGTTCATGTCGCAAGGCGCTGATCACGAAGGCAACCGCATGTTCGCTCGTTCCTAATCCTTGCCGGCGACGCCATGGCATGCACCATGGCTCGAACCACAACTTTCTGGACAGAAGAACAGGTTGAGCAGATGTCAATACTGGTGATGATATAATTCCTGCATTACCCCAAAGACCCTAAACTTGGGAATTATGGTATATTCCATAAAATGGGTAATGCAGGATTTTTACCATCAACCGTAGCATTGATGCCCAACCCTAGACTCCCGACATCAAATCTCGCAAACGCTAAACGTCAATCCCC